ACAACTAATCAGTAGTCTCTCCAAAGATAAAGGTAAAGAAGCGATCCTCTCCTTCTTGAGCTCTTATCTCTCTGAAGTTGATCTGTTAGTTGATCTTTTTTTTTTGAATCTGTTATTAACAGAGGGAAGAATTATGGTGGAAGACATTGTAAGGTTGGGGAGATTGGGAAGTAAGCCAGAAGAAAATGTAACGGAAGAAGAATCAAACTGAAGGAAATAATACTAAGATTTGAAGACACTTTTAGACTTTTAGTAGTATTGAAGAGAGTTTTATTGAGAGAAACTCTACTTCAGGTTTTGCTGCTTAGACACAAGCAGTCTACTTACATATACAAGCGGCTAAGAGTGTGAGACCTTTTTGCTAGTTATGTGAAAAAGATTGAAAACTAAAAAAAAAAGACAACATTACGCCAAGAATGATATCTTGAGCGTATTATTTTTAATTGAAACTCTTGATTCAAAAGTGTCATTGGCTATGAATATGAAGATTGACTGGTTTACTAGTTTAACATGTGGTTTTTCAGTGATCCCTAAACGACATCATTCGATTCCATCTGTTTGTAGGCAGTGATCAACTATCAAAACTTTTGCTGAAAAACACATTTTTAACCCTCAAAGTGTTACTGGGTAGAACTTTAAACCTCGAAAGAATTTCACTAGCACTATAAACCACCAAGATAATTTTACTAACATTTTAAACATCTAAACTAGCTTTTCTGTTTGTCTCACCAAAAGAAAAATGGAAAATTTAATTTTATTTGTTTAGTATAAATTTATTTTATTTAATTTAAATTGAAATTAATTTTATTATTTATTACAATTAATAAAAATATAAAAAAACTTTAATTTAAATTTAAAATAATTTTATTATTTATTACAATTAATAAAAATCTAAAAAAACTTCACCTTCTTTGTTTACTCACCGTTCGACCATGAAATTTCAAAATTCAACCTCTGAAACTTTAGATTTAAGCACAAGAGAAGTTTATAGTATAATAATATACACCAAATAATGTAGAATATGAGGTACAAGAGAAACTTGAATAGAATAATAAAAACTAAAGAATGTCAAAATTTTGTCAGAAAACGAAGAATTCTCCGTATCAGAGGAATCATTTTTTTACGTTTCTTAATAATCGAAAAATCAAAATAAATAATAAAATTAATTAAAATTTAAATTAAATTAAATAAATGTAGATTAAACCAACATAAATTAATTGTTCTATCATATTTTAGGGCGGTGCAAACATGAAAACTAGTTTGGAGGTTTAAAGTGTTAGTAAAATTATTTTGGTGGTTTATAGTGTTAGTGAAATTCTTTCAAGGTTTAAAGTGATACCCAGTGACATTTTGAGGGTTAAAAATGTGATTTTCCCAATAATTATCTTATCGCTGTAGCTTATAAGTTACTGATTGCTTATGTGGGGACTTGCCTTTTTTAGTATTAAAAATGTAAATAATATTTTGTGTCTTTTCATGTAGATTGAGACGAAACCATAACAAGTGTCGATAATGTTGTCGTTTTCCCTTTTTTATATCCTAATTTGCCTTGGATTTCAGGAATATACGCAACTGTAGTTTTTTTTTGTCATTTTCTTCTGTTTCAGACTATTGATCACAACTGTTCTTTTTTCAGGCTTTGCTTGAAATTTGTTAAGTAACTGTTGCTTTGGCTGCAATGGAGGAAAACTGAAAAGAGTTTTATGATGAAGGGAAGAACAACCAACATTGTACAGTCGAATCGGTCTTCCAAGAATGGGAAAAGAGATCAAAAGCCACAGAAGACAACATGTGCTAAAAGATCTCTAGAGCAAGAAAGACTCGAAGCTTTTAAAGAGGAATCTAATGTCTCAGTACTAGTAGATGATACAACTACACAATCAAAGCTCTCTATGAATGATGATCATGCAGTGAATGAGTCTTCAGTTACTCATCAAGAGTTCGAGCCTGGTAGGATTACAGAGAAAACGGAGAAGGAAGACACTGTATTTGGCTTGGCCTGTGATGATGACGAGGAGAAGGAGAAGGAAGAAAGCAAAGACTTTGATGCTATAGCTCATGAGAAGGCAAAATCGTATAAGATATATGATTATCGTATGTTGTGTTTTTGTCATATTTTCAATTTCTAGTATTTTAGTCTCTGAACCGTTAATTTGTTTTTAATATGTTATTCCACTTATATCATCATCGAATGTGTGTATATATGTATTATTGAAGACAATGTAATTAAGCTTATTCTACTTTGATAAAAATATTAAATGGCAAATTATGATTCAACTATATCTCTTTCTGTAGAATTGCTAGATACATGTGTTGTAACCTTACAAAGCATACAAAACTACTATAAAGCAGAGTGCAATTAAATTGTAAATGCCACTATCTTAAAACTTTGGATGCATGTAAAATTAAATTACCTACTATTTTTTTTTCCTACTCATTTGTATTTAGAATCATTTTATTTTATTTTCTTTGAACCACCACCCATAATGTTTAGCCGATGTGGAACGTTCATTTCACACTTTTTTCTTCAATGATTGAGTAAATTATATCCGTTTTTAAAAATTTAAATCACAACATATGCGGAAATAAATTCTAAAATTTAATTTATTATATATTGGAACTATGTATTTTATTCAAAGACTTTTAAAATATGATCAAACAAAAATGATAGGAGATTTTTTTAATAAGATTTTTAAACATAGTTTTGTTGACAAAATCATAGGAAAGGGAAATCTTAATATTTCCTAATACAAATAAATGGATTGAAATAGAATTTAAACTGATTTTTATTTCAATTATTTTAAGGGAGACTCACAAAAATGCCCCTTTTTCAATACCCCTTTTCAAAAATGCCCCATTTGGCTGTCCATTTTTAAAAATACCCCTTTTTATGTACAAAATGACTAAATTACCCTTCTTTTAATAAAAGATATTACAAATATATAAGGAAATATAACAAAATTAGGTTCACAAAATACAAAATATTTTTGGCGGGAAAAGTGATCCCACAATTTTTCCCGCCAAAAACACTTGTAAAAACTTGTAAAACCTTTAAAATACCTTGTAAAATTTTCCCGTAAAATTTTTTCCCGCCAAAAATTTTTTTTGCGGGAAAAGTGATTCCGCAATTTTTTTTGTGCTAAATTTTTGGCGGGAAAATTTTTGGCGGGAAAAATTTACAAGGTATTTTAAAGGTTTTTTACAAGGTATTTATAAGGTTTTACAATGTATTTTAAAAGGTTTTACAACGTATTTATAAGATATTATAAGATTTTACAAGCTATTTTATAAGGTTTTACAAGTTATAAGATTTTACAAGTTTTTTATAAGGTTTTACAAGTTGTAAATACTTTATAAAACCTTATAAGTACCTTGTAAAACCTTTTAAAATACATTGTCAAACTTTACAAAACACTTGTAAATACTCTGTAAAACCTTTAAAATACCTTGTAAATTTTTCCCGCCAAAAATTTTCCCGCCAAAAAAATTTCGCCAAAAAAATTGCGGAATAACTTTTCCCGCAAAAAAAAATTTTTGGCGGGAAAAATTTTTACGAAAAAATTTTACAAGGTATTTTAAAGGTTTTTACAAGTGTTTTGGCGGGAAAATTGGGGGATCACTTTTCCCGCCAAAAAATATTTTGTATTTTGTGGACCTAATTTTGTTTCAAATAAGGGTAAAATGGTCATTAAAAATTAAAAGAGGGCAAACTTAAAAATGGACTCTCAAAGGGGGCATTTTTGAAAAGGGGTATTGAAAAAGGGGCATTTTTAACAATTTCTCTTATTTTAATTCCAAAGCTACCTTTTTAAGTTGAAAACACTTTTTGCACATAATACCCCTTTTCTATTTCTAATGAAAATACCCCTTTTCTATTTCTGATGAAAATTACAAATTTTTATATGTAAAATAATAATTTTGTCCATATTTAAATTAAAGGTGTATTTTTAGTAAAATCAATACTAAATTAAAAAAATTGAGAGAAAAAAAAAGAACAAAAATAAATTCGAAACAATTTTAGTTATTCTTATAATTATTTTTGAGATAATGATAATCTATTTCTTTTCTATATTAAATTTAACAAGATCAAATCAAAAAAAAATATTATAAAGTCTATCCCTTAATATTGTCATGTTATGTAAAAAAAAAAAAATCTCAACGTAACAAGCCAATTCTTCAACTCCAAAATCTGTCTCAATTGTAAGAGTAACGTAGATTACTATTTAACATCGGTAGAATGATGTAATATACATGTGTTTTTGATTAGACCAACGTACGACTTATAGCTTTAACATAATATTTTTTGTTTTATTTACATGTGTTATAGATTAGAGATAGAGTAACCAAAAACCAATGAAAATCTAATCAAAAGTAATTTTAGTCAAAAAAATTTTGTAAGTAATAATGAACTATTAAATTAATCAAACGTAGAAACGTAATCACTTGATAGGTGAATTCACAATTATTTTATATTGTTTAAAAGAAAATTTTAAGATAAGAATTATTTTTAAAATTGTTAGTTACTTCAAATATTAATTTTAAAAACTAAATTAATGGATTTTATGTTTTACGTGTAAATTATTTTAATTATTATTTACTGAAACTGTTTTAGTAAATTAATATATTAAAAAATATAGTTTTTAAAAGAAAAACAAGGATAAGGTATTTTTCAAACAAGAACTCATAAATAAGGTATTTTTCCAAATTTACTCAAACGGTGAACTATAGCACTTTCTTGGAAATAGAATGCACTAGATTTCATATTTGCATATTTGTTTTCCAAATCATTAACTAATAATGGAAAATTTGAACAAATAACCATAAAAAAAAAAGTTTAATTCACTAACTAACCATAATGAGACTTATGGTCCAGTAAAAGAAAAAGGATTAGATGTTAAAAAAAAAAAAAGGATTACGAAGCGATAGGCCGATAATATATAATAAGAAAAAAGCTTGAGCCCTTAGTCGTTCTTCATTCGTCTGCGATCTCGAATAATCCTCTTTCCAAGCAAAGGTCCGGGGGGGGGGGGGGGGGGGGTTTCCACTCAGATCTACATTGCTTTCGCATCGATCGTCAGGTTCGTGTCCATCTCGAACTTATGATCTCGTAAAGAGATTGATAAACCCTAATTTCTATTGTAGAAGAAACTTTCCTTAGATTAGCCTGGAATCTTGTTGCTTTAGAGTAGAAGTCCAAGTTCATGGGTATTGCTGCGATTAGTTTCTTCGATCGTTTTTTTTTAAATTGGATTGTTTGGATTTTTTGGTAGAGGAGGAGAATCTACAATGATCCTCACCTGGCTAACCAGAAGAAAGAAGTCTTATTATAGACGAATAGCAATAGACGCACTAAACAAGGTATCATCCGTTTTCTATATATATATATGTATGTCTTCGATTTGACAAAAAAATTGATGTTTGGAAGAGACAACCCACCGTTTATTTTAAAATTATTATTGTATTCAAAACTGAATCAACTTTTCTAATCATTTAAGTGGTTTCATGCATGGTCTCAAGAATATTGAGTCCTGGGATCGAGATAGGGAAGCTTACCTGGAGCAGGCTGACATGGAGTCAGAGCAAGCTAAAAAATATGTCCAGAAAGGCGACGAAGAAGGTACTACGACCAAAATCTTCCCTTGTTTCTTTTTTTTTTTTTCCGATTTTTCGATTTTAATTACATGTGCTTTGTCATGCAGCTGCCAAATACCATTTGAGCCTCAAGTTGCTAGCCAACCGTTCTGCTCAACATTGCCAGGAATTACTGCTTCATTCTCACAAACAAGTGAGTTTTTCTTCTTGTTTTCCTATATATTTATACACGTCATTTTATTATTATAAGTCTAGATCTCCTATATATATCATCTGCGATTAACAGCTTCTTCTTTTTCTTTTGAAACAGTTGATTATTCTTAATAGGCTGGAATTGCAATCGATGGACGACGATCTCACCACCCACAATCCAATGCATATCTTTACAATGTCTTTGGCTTTTTGTTTGTTCCTTTTTCTTATAACTTATTTTGTGTTTTTCTAGACACTACCAAAAAACAAAGATAAGTTTGTGTTTTTCTAGCTCCTAATATTACACTACCAAACAGCAAGGATAACTTATGAATGTGCTACAAGATTTCAATTTATTGAACCCGATTCTATATGAAGAATAATAGTGCATTAAACCCTAACTTCTGTTCCGGTCCTTTTTTTTTTTTTTTTTCTATGTTGTTGTTGTTCATAAAATTCAGTTGCGGTTTTTTTAATCAACACTCGAAAACAGAACCCAGATTTTGTTATTGAATTGGGGTTTTGAGTGTGTTAACAAGTTTCAGGAGGAAGAAGAAGAGCTAGTTTTGCAAGAATGAGGAAGAAGGTTGATGAACGTATCAGGACTCTGACTGAAGACGGTGTCTGTTTGCAATCATCGGTGACAAGTCTCGTGACCAGGTTTGCTGTTTCTGTTCTCGAAAGTTTTCTACTTGGACACTTATCTCCCTCAGAGAATGTTTTGTTGGATACTAAATCTACAACCTTTTTTTTTGTGTGTGTTTCTTCTCTAACAGATAGTGAACCTTCATCATATGTTGTCTAAGGCAGTGATTAAGTGTAATCCGAGTGTCTTGTGGTGCTACAAGGACAAACTTGACATCAGCAGGTTCGGTTCTTAATCCCAAATTCTCAAGGCTTTAGATGATTCTTTTTTTTAGCTTAGCTTTTATGCTTGAGTTTTGTTCCAGTCTTCCTTGTGAGAACATGTATTTTGAGAATTTAGCTGGACACAAGTGTGGAATGGAATGCGAATTGTCTGATTGGACACAGATTATTTTTATATTGTATTTGTTCTATTTCATTGAGAAGAACCTGCAAGGTGAGAGACATATGCATAGTTATTGAGATAATTATTGAATAGACCTACACTAGCTCAAGGATAGAAGAAATCATTATTCCATTTTGCGATGTGGCCATATATGGTTCTAAAATACCTTCCACTGTTATTTTTATAGGAGCACCTTGATTATGATGTTGTGAAAAGTGCGAATCCTGATTTCAAAAAAGCTATTGTACGGATAACTATCTTCAAGCAGCATAGATAAACTATCCAGGTTTGTTAATCCCTCAACTAATTCATGATTTTCAAGCTGTGCTCTGAGTCCATCTCTGACGTGTTCCATGCTCTTGATATTTTTCATGCAGTATATACAACCACAGGAGCATGAGAAGCTCTCACAAGTAGAGCTGTTGGTTATTGATGAAGCGTCAGCTATTTCTTTGCCAGTTGTGGTGAAGTCTTTGCTAGGTCCTTATCTGGTTTTCCTATCGTCAACTGTCAGCGGGTATGTAAAACAGGATGTGATGCTATTAAAAAAGTCATATGCATGTTCTGGTTTTAATTCAGGGTTAATCATGCTACTGAATTTTACCCTTTTTTGTTTTTATGTTTACAGCTATGAAGGCACTGGGAGATCTTTGTCCCTGAAATTCCTCCAACAATTAGATGAGCAAAGCCGGGCTCCTGCTACTGGTCTTGAAGGGTCTCTTTATGGTATGTAACTGCTGCACCTTGCTTTCGTTCTTGGCTATGAAAATTATTAGGGATATTTTTTAGAGACCTCTCTATCATCCTTAAGATGATAGACTCATTTTTCTTAGAATCATCGCTCAGATGCCCCTATTTATTGTCTTGGAAGGTAAAGTATAGTGCTTCTAGCATTGTTTAAATGTTCCATTTCGTGTGTTATAGTTTGATTTAGGTTCACATTGACCTAGAACAGCGATTCATCAGTCTTCATGAAAATGGACTTATAAAGATTAAATTATCCGCTATCAATCTGCTATAACTGCTTGTTTCCACATTTTGTGGGAAACATAGTTTCTCTAGCTTGTGTCCTTATTTGTGTGTGTGTCATTTTAAGCATCATTGTAACTGTTATATTCAGGTCTGTCTCGAAGGAAAGATATCTGAGAACTCAGCCCTTCAAAGTTTAAGGGATGGCCATTCACCATATGGAGACCAAATTCCATGGAAATTCTGTGAACAATTCCGGGATACTGAATTTCCAGGTTTCTCTGGGGCTCGGATAGTTCGCATAGCAGTCTACCCTTACGCCATGAAGGTAATATTTTGTTCTCCTCATATTTTTAATTGTCCAGTTAGGTTTTGTGTGCGATTAACAAGCTTCTGATTTCCTTCTTTGTAGATGGGATATGGTTCTGCTGCAGTTGAACTCTTGAGCAGGTAAATTCATGGAATGTGCATACACGAGTTTGTAATCATGTGATCTCATAAATGACTTATATCAATGTTATGTTTTGTGCTTGAAAATTTAGAACTTTGTACTCTTAATCAGGTGTGGTCATACTCTTACTAATACTGATTGACATTTGCAGATATTTTGAGGGTCAGATAGCTCCAATCTCAGAAGCTGATGATAAAGTTGATGTGGAGCATGCACCCATTAAAGTCGCAGAGGCTGCGGAGAAGGTTTCTGGTTTTTCGTATATATCTATCTATGTGGGCTTTGGTTGTTACTTAGTGCAGAATCTGCTTCTTTTTTATGTTCACTAGCATAGTTATTTCTCTGTTTCCATTCTTAGCTGAATCCATTTTTAACAGGTCTCCATGCTCGAGGAGCAAGTAAAGCCTCGCACAAATCTTCTCATGATCGACTACCTGATAAGCTCCACTACATTGGTGTTTCCTTTGGACCTCTTCCGATTTTGGAGAAAACATAATTTTGCGCCATTCTACGTTAGCCAAATCCCAGCTGAGAATATTTCCATCCGTTCTTCCTTAATCGCTTATATCAATTTCATTTTTAATAGTTGTTTGTAACAGTGATTATTCCGTGTGTTTTGATCAGAGTGCTGTTACTGGTGAGCACACATGTATGCTTCTAAAACCTTTGAAAAATGATGAACTAGAAGTCAACGAGTCCGATGAGTTTGTTGATTCTTTGATCAAGAACTGAACTTTCTCCATCTTCCAAGTATATATTATAATTTTTGTTTGATGGTTTAACATGCTTTGTTCAGATTTCAAGATAATATGGTTTAACATGCTTTTTGAGTGCCAAATTCAAAAAGATGGACTATAAACTTGCAATGAGGTAAGCATTAACAATTTTCTGTCTTTACTTTTCGATAATATCAATTTCATATAGTTATTTATTTTTGTCATATTATTCTTTGTCCAGTGTCTTAAACCCCAACATCAACTTCCACGAGGTTGATTCTTCAGGGAGTTCATCAGGTGGATTTTTGAAGAGACTCGACGGCATATTATCTCCGTATGATATGGAGAAGCTCAGAGCATATACTAAAAATCGGACTGATCTTTAATTTTTTTTTTTTTCTTTTTTTGTGGGAATGGTTTTCTTTTGAAAATGTCCGTGCACTAAATTGACATTTTGGTAATGATCTCTTGGAACCAACTCTATACCCAACACACATTGGACGTTGAAATGGTGCAGAAGTAAAACAAGTGTAGTTGGTGTAAACTTGTTAAGTAGATTAGATCAGTACTAACTGCTTTCAGTTCTCCTTCTGTTTGTAACCTGTTTCATTGTCTTTGAAAGGTTTATGACATCTGCAAAACGCTGGCACATCAGTATTTTGAAGAGAAGCTCCCCATATGACTGTCATATGTTCAGGCATCTATATTGCTATGCTTGGGGTTGCAGGAGGCGGACTTCTCTAGCATCGAGGTAACATGTTTTACTCTAATTTTGAAGACTGCAGCCAGGTGGATCGATAATGTTTCAGTACATCCATATATGATAAAGTTGCAAACGCATTTGAATGTTGGACTTTGCAGAGACAAATGCAGTTGGAGAGGGGACAAATACCTTCTCTTGTCCTGAAGGTTGCAAGGGAGTTGTGCAAATGGAGTTGCGGGAAAGGAGATCGAATCAGCCCTCCCTCGTTTGAAAGAGGTAACACCATGTTATGTATTGCTTTGTAATTTGATCCACAACTATAGTCACAAGAGTTTACATTTCGGAAACCAAGAACAAAGTTAGGATATTTGAATGCATGATGTGTGCAGAAACGTAGAATTCAAAGTCTGAGCACTCCTGGGAGGAAACTAAAAGTCTCTCAAGCTGTTCTCAGAGTTTGGTGTTTGCTATAGAATAGTGTCATCTGTTTTGCTGGTTGCAGAGAGAGCTTGAACCGGGCAATGTATCGGTCGACTATGGTATCAGGGAAGGAGCAACACAAGTCGAGGTAATTCTCATACCTCCATGTACCGAGTAAAAATATTGTATTTGTGTTATATACTTCGGTTATAACATCGAATGAACTTGTAGTTCTTTTGTCTTTAAAAGGAACAAATGATGAAGGAGAAGGTTGAAGGATTAATGGATTCTGAGCTTCAACAATATGTAACAGGGGACAAAGAAGCAGAGGCTCTGCAACATTCAAAGATCCCTTCAAGTGGTATTATCAGTGTGTTAAGTCCACTGAATCGGAGAATGAGAATGGGTTTTGACAAATCCACTAAAAAGAGAAGCAGTGAAGAAGAGCCTGAATATTGAGTTTATATCTCGGTTTATGACCGGTTTAAATTACTTGTATAGTCTGGTTTAGCTTACGGTTTAGTTCATACACATTTGTATATAAACAGTGTAAACGGCTAATTTCAATCTAATGAGAAAATATCTTCATAACAAACTTTTCTTGCAAATTTTTAATTCGAGTCTTCAGAAAAGAGATATGTAATGTTTAACTGATTTGTTGTTATGCTTGGTATACATACAAAAAAGATCATATATTATAATTTCTATATGATAATGGGCAGTAATCACATCACAAACTAAATAAAATGAAGTTTTATGTTTTAGAATTAAAAGAGAAAAACGAAAAAGAAAAAGAAATTGTTTTGAAGGGTAAAAGCGTAATCTCCACGACTAGTAGAAATAGCTTTTTGTTCCCGCTTAGATCAGAATTAGAAAGCTTCACTCTTCCTCTCGTGTTCTTCTTCTTCTTCAGGAGTTCTTCTCGAGACGATTTTCTTTCCACGGTTCAACGCATCACAGATATCGACTCGAATCATCAGGTAATGCTTCTGTGAATCGATTTCTTAGGTAATGCTGCAGTTTCGTTGAATTGAATCCAGAGAAGAGTCGTCTCTGTTTCGCTCTGAACCCGGCGACGATCTTTCTTAGAAATTAGGGTTTCGCGTGTTTCTGTTTGGTAGGTTTTAGGAATTTGATTGAGTTTGGGTTACTGTTCTGAAGAATTTCATGTTTGCAGAATCGAATTCATAGAAAAATTCAACTCAATTACTGTTTTCGCTAGAAATTTAGGGTTTAAGAGTGTTTATGTTTGGTTGGGGTCAGGAACTGGATTCGATTTTGGGGTTAATGTTCTGAAGAATTACGTGTTTGCAGAATCCAATTCAATTGCTATTTTGCGTTGCTTTTTCTCAAGATTTTAGAGTTTCACAGAGTATTTCTGTACTAAATTGCTGTTTTGTGTTGAATTTGAACAGGTATGACGAAAGCGTTTTCTGTAGCCGTGAAAAAGACCGCATCGTGGATGGGTGTAAAAGGAAAGAGGTTCAAAAAGGTTGTTGCGGAGGCGGTAAGCGGATCCTCCAAGGTTTCGTCTACTGCCAGAAGATTGAAACGATATGTTGAGAAAAGCCGTGAGGTTCCCGAAGAAGTGATCAAGGACGCTATCAGCAGTGTGGCTGAGAAGGAGAACAAACTTCAGAGTAGTTTGGATGTTGCGGTCCAAAAACTGGACCTTGCGGAACAGAAAGCAAAACTAGCCTTGCAGCAAAAGAAGCTGAAAACTGCTGAGTACGAGGTTAAACTGAAGCTGCTGTACAAGGCTGAAGTTGAAGTGGCTCGGAAGGAGCTCTACACACTCAAAAATAGGAAGAGCAATCTGGACTGTGGTCTCAGAGCACGTGCATGCGATGAAACAGATGTAAAGTTTCTAAACGCCTCTCACTACATACCTGAACGGTAAGTGCGGGAACAATTTTATTTGCTACCACTTAATTTGGTCATTACTTGACTAATCCTTTTTTCCCACCAGTGTTGCAGTCCGAGCTGCTGCTGATGAGGAGATAAAAGAGGAGCTAGACAAGATGCGACACGACGCCCAACTTTGAAAACGAAAGACTTTCAGCAGATCCTTGCTTAAAAGAACTTTCCATTGGTAAAAACTGGCTTCGATTCAGTGCATAGAGCAAGCACCTGAAAATATGACAAAACACAATTAGATATTTTGCAATTACATGTTCAAAACTAAACCTTCACTTGTTCATTAATAATGGGATCGAACGAACATGACTGCTATGCTCCAGCGATTAACAGTGATTTGTTTTTGCTGATTGTATGATTCATTGAATTAGGGTCTAGTTTGTTTCTGTTCTTTGTGAATTTTAGTTCCCTATCTTATGACTCTGTGCAGTCAACATATCCAGATTCCGGTTTCAACTAGTTATAGTCAAGAGGATGTAGTATAGCTCTGGTTAGGGAAAGTCTCTCTATTTTGTTTTCTTTAGTTGTGAAGCCTGAGACGGTTCATCACATAGCTTAAGATTCTAGCATGTATACACTCATGGAGTTAGGAAATCAGATGAGCTGTTTTAGGATGTAATACTCTATATATTCTTGTTGTTTAAAAGTTTTGGAACTTCAAATGATTTGCTAGAGTGTGCTTCCCATTTTTTATAACTGTTATTTTAGTTGCTGTGGGTGCCAAATTGCGAGCCTTTTACTAAATACCGAGTGAAAAAAAAACATGAGAGTGGATATCAGTTCATCACCATAGCTTAAGATTCTAGCATGTATTCGCTGGTGGAGTTAGAAAATCAGATGAGCAATTGTAGGATGTCACTCACTGGATTCCTGTTGTTTTTTTTCCAAACATATTGGGGGTTAATTGAAAGCTGTGAATGATTACTTAAGTATGCCTCCCATTGAGAAACATTATGTAAGTTGATGTGTGTGTTGAATTGCAAACCATTTACTAGTACAAAGTGAGGGAACATGAGAGATGGAAAAGAGGTTTTCATGAACTACTTGGATAAGTCCAGGGAGAGAGAGGTGCAAGAGAATGACACTTATTTAGGTAGGTGAAGTTTGAGAACATAACAGTATAATTTATGTCTGCTGGTTCAGGTGAATTAGATGTAGAAACAGATATTGCCACTTGAAGATTATTGCTCGTCTGATGTAGAAACAAAATGTGTATCTTCCTAGGTAACCTTAGGTTCTGTGTTGGGATTCCTAAATCGACTGATGGACATGGTGGCCATTCTTAGTATAGCTTGATCTTTGCATCTCATTTTGATTGTATGGATTCTTACTCTGTCTCGCTCTCTCCCATAAGTATATTCCTGAAATCTCTTTGTTCAATCATATTTTGGGATCTCCAACTGATATCTAAACCGAAATCGAGATTTGACATATCCCAACCACACTTCCATGATTTGACCGAATTGGCTCAACTGAAAAAGTGAGCATCGACTTACATGAATGTTTGTTGGCGGGTGTACTTATTGCTGCTGCTACCTGCATTGATATTTCTTAAATCGTTTGCATCTCTAATCTACCATATAACCTTATTTCCTATAAATCATCTCAATATATTTTCCGATTTAGTCGTTTGTAATTACCAGTTCTGTTCATAACTTTAATTCTTAGTAACGTGGTGAGAAAAAAGTTTTCAAGAAGACGATTCCATACCAATATATAAATAATGAGGAAAAAAATAGATCTTAAAATAGTTGGAGTTAATTTGTTACATTGTTATAAAGTAGCGTTACAAAGAGGATTGATTATTAAATATGAAGAAGTGAGAAGTCAATATTGCACTGATCTATGAGTAAATTAGGAAAAAAATAGATTTTAAAATAGTTGGAGTTAATTTGTTACATCGTTATAGAGTAGCGTTACAAAGAGGATTGATTATTAAATATGAAGAAGTGAGAAGTCAATATTGCACTGATCTATGAGTAAAAGATGGAAGATGCGATTAAACTTGTGGAAGAGGAGGTGAAAACGATTTGGTTTGGTAACATTAATTTGGCTTACTATTTAAAAAAATCATCAATCATAATATATGTGAGCTAATGTGGCATCTTGTAGTAGAATATTAAAATGATGATGTGGATAGTTGAGAAGCCTCAATGAGTTTCTTTTATTAGTTATAGATAGATGTAAATAATATTTTGTGTCTTTTCATGTAGACTGAGACGAAACCATAACAAGTGTCGATAATGTTGTCGTTTTCCTTTTTTCATATCCTAATTTGCCTTGGATTTCAGGAAAATACGCAACTGAGTTTTTTTTGTCATTTTCCTCTGTTTCAGACTATTGATCACATCTGTTCTTTTTTCAGGCTTTGCTTGAAATTTGTTAAGTAACTGTTGCTTTGGCTACAATGGAGGAAAACTGAAAAGAGTTTTATGATAAAGGGAAGAACAACCAACATTGTACAGTCGAATCGGTCTTCCAAGAATGGGAAAAGAGATCAAAAGCCACAGAAGACAACAGGTGCTAAAAGATCTCTAGAGCAAGAAAGACTCGAAGCTTTTAAAGAGGAATCTAATGTCTCAGTAGTAGTAGATGATACAACTACACAATTAAAGCTCTCTGATGATGATGATCATGCAGTGAATGAGTCTTCAGTTACTTATCAAGAGTTCGAGCCTGGTAGGATTACAGAGAAAACGGAGAAGGAAGACACTGTATTTGGTTTGGCCTGGTAGGATTAAAGATTTGGTATATATAAAAACAAATTTATGAATATTTATTCCATAAATTTTACCGAATAAAAATTATGAAACTTTGGATGCATGTAAAATTAAATTACCTACTATTTTTTTTTAACCCCAACTTCCTACTCATTTATATTTATAATCTACTTAATTTTGTTTTACGATATATCTTTGAACCACCACCCATAATGTTTAGCCGACCTGGAACGTTTATTTCACATTTTTTTCTTCAATGATTGGTAAATTATATCCGTTTTAAAAAACTTAAATCACAACATATGCGGGAAAAAAAATTCTAAAATCCGGATTAAGATCCGCTCCATCCAGATATCCAGATTTTAGAAAACAACCGGATATCCGGATCCGGATTTTTTATTTGAAGGAAAAGATAAAAAAAAAAATAATTTAAAAAAATTATTAAAAATATTATTAAAAATACTAAAATTATATAAAATAAGAAAAATATTAATAAAATTTAAATAATAATAATAAAATATTAAAAATATTATTATAGTATAAAATATCCCGGATCCAGATATCCGGCTTTAATATTTTCTATGAAAAATATTTTCCGGTTTTCATTTCCTCGGGAACAGTTGAATATCAATATTCCAAGAGAGTAGAAAAATAGTAAACTGACCTCGGGAGTATCAGGAGACAAGTAAAGATATGGAACATTTTGTATGCCATGAAAGAGTTTCCAAACATTGCGAGAGTAACGTCTTGGTCGAACCAATGATCATCATCATCTGGTTCTCTAGCTCGCTGGAGTTGCTCTTCAGTTAATGAGAAATCGTATCTTTCCTTTCGGCAAAAGAGGCTGGGTTTTGTGTTTTTTTCCAAAACGACACCGTCTTTGTGATCTATTCTTAGTATAGCTTGATCTTTGCATCTCATTTTGATTGTTTGGATTCTTACTCTGTCTCGCTCTCTCCCATAAGTATATTCCTGAAATCTCTTTGTTCAATCATATTTTGGTGTCTGTGCGTGTAGATGCTGAAGATGGGTATTCTCTGCCTTTTGAGATTTCAGGAGCTGAAACTAACTGGTATTTCGATTGATCTGATTTCTGATTTTGTCCGAAATCACCCAGTGTTACCTACTTATACTACAATTGATTTTGTCCCGGCTTCCTATCCAACTGTCAATCTCGACTCCCTTGTTGAAGCAAATCTCGACCTGGGACTCCTGTTTTGCAGATGAAGATGATCATATTACTAGCAATCTAACAAATCTGATTAAGGGGTTGAGAAATGTTGAGATCATGAATTTGTTATCTCATTACAGTTTGGAGGTAACTGTGCTCTTCTGTTTGCTAATGCTTCTTCCATTCTCTGTAATATGTTATGGACAAATTGAGAAAACGGAAAGAACATGACAAGGATACTTAGTTATGATCTAAATATTGAAATTGGTTGCTGACTTCATTTTGTTTCAGATGTTCCCAAAAATCCATTGAAGAACATAGGATAACATTCTTGGTATATGTCAACTACAAGAAGCTCTTTTAATATGAGGTAGAAGAAGACAACAAAAATGGCAGCCATAACATGACCACTGATGTTGTTGTTGCTGATGATGTATCATGATGGGCCTAGGCTCCGTCCGCTACAGTCATCTTTACTGTACTGATGTAAAGAACTGCATCCAAAGAATACACACAAATTTACACACTTACAAAGAAGAAGATTGAGAGAAAGATGAATGTGAGAGATTGTAGTTACCGTTGTTTCCACGAATAAAGGCATCACCATATTTGTTCTTGAGCTGCCCGTTTACATACTCCTCTGTCTGCTCCATTGCTATGTTCATATACCCATCAAGACAAGTAAGAATGCCTGTGCAAAAGAGTAATCAAATCTTGATCAACAACTCAACATTAAGCTTGACCAGAACTTGGACAAAACTGACTCGGGCACCAACGGCAAGAAGTCAACAAGAAGCCTTGATCATGAGGAGACAAACTGACTTAAATATATGTTTATGAGACAAACACAAGCTAAAAAAGATCTCAGTCAACTATTGTAGCCTTATTGTAGGTAGAAAGGAAAATGTTCTTAAGAAAACCATGGAACAATGCTCACAAGTAAACCTTAGAAAATGTAAGGAAAGCTTCTCATATTGACAAGGAATCAGTTAAAAGTTGGAGATATAACCTTCAAATGAAATGATAATTAAGTTACTTAACACAAGCAACTCTTAAATTCCCTTAACATGGCAAAAAAAAGAACCAGTCCTAAGGCAAAACTTGTAACCTAAAGTGCAGCAGAGATAGATAGATAGATGGAGAACTTGCAAAACACATAAGAATATCTAAAGAGAGAGAGAGAGAGAGACCTCGATAATCAACACCAGAATTGAGCTTGACAACAACGGGTCTCCCACGGATGGATTTGAGGAAATCTGCAGGTGTCTTAGTCGTTCCAGAAACTTTCTCTCCGACACCACTCATCTTCTTCTAAGCACGATCCTTTATTTAACTGCAGAAACAATTGAGATCTTACATCAGTTTGGTCGCTCTTCGAACAACAAAAACTCAAGAGGTAAAACCCATTCAGAGTCAATCTCTCGAATCACAAAAAGACTCCAAACCCTAAAACCCTAAACTTTAAACCCAATAGAAGCGAATTCGATTGAAAAAATCGAAACTTTTACAATGGATTCAAGGAACTAATAAAAGAAGAACTCCAGACCTGAGACCACCTACTCGAGTGCGAGACAGAGAGAGCGAAGAAATAATGAATTGGTCCTAAAGGGTTTTATTATTTCCAAAACTATAGTATATGGATTATTCGAGTTTTCGTATTAAAAAAGTTTAAAACTAATAATAATTGAATATTAGTCCTTTAAAGATTTTGATTTTTTAATTTGGGGGTGAAATTAAATCTCCAGTGCGTTTCGGTTGGGCCTCACAGTTTCTCTTCTCGTCTCTCTCTCTCTCGTTTGCTTTCTCTACAGATCCCTAAATCCTCTCCCTTTGGACCGTTAATCCCCAAACCCTAGATTTAATCAAAATCCTCACAGCTTCTTTCATCTTCAATCTCTCTAAACTCTCTTTCTCCTGCAAGAAATTTGGGGACTTTTTCTTGTGGGTTTAATTGTATCAGCTATGGGGAAGAATCAAGCTTACAAGGCTATGCAGAGATCTAGGGTTGGTTCCAGCTCCGCCCAGCCGGATGAAGTTGAAGACGGAATGGTTTGTACCTTTTCATACTATCTTCTTCATTGCAATTGCAATTGATTATGTTTTTTACTTCTCCTCACAAAAATCCAATTTGATTGATTACTTGTGGTTTTGTTCATGTTTGTGTTATTGGGTTATCGAGAGTCAAGCCTACAATCTTTTGCAGATCCTTTTTGAGTCCCAATTTTTGAGGAACAACTTGTATCTAGCCTGTTAGGTCTTTTAGACGATACCAAGTCCATGTTTAGATGTAATTTCGTAAAGTGTTTGGATTAGAGTTTGTGTTACAGTGATTCAAGAGTCTGTCATTGTTGTTGTTGTAATCTGTGAACACAAAGAAGCATTTGGAGAAGTCATACGTTGATATGGAGCAATTGGCGAAGCATTTGGAGAAGTCATACGTTGATATGGAGCAATTTGCTTCTTTCTCTGTCAAGTTTTGGGTCTTTTTTTTTTTAGCTTGATGCTCATATTTTGTACTGGTACCGGAACATTTCTGATGAGGATTGTCTCAGGTGGATGGTTCATTTCATACACCAGAGTGGCATGCGGCTCGTTTGGCTAGCCTCAAGACTACACATACTATTACATGGGAAGAGTATAAGCAGAAGCAAAAGGTAATCCTTATGTCGCTTTAGAACTTTCCATTGTTATATCTTCTGAATGTTGTATGGAATGTTGGTCCTTGTTATAATGCCGTAGATAATCAATTGACCATTGATGATTAAGTATTCATAAGATCGCTGTTAGCCTATTATTGTCGTCAATTTAGAAGCTTTAATCCAACAAATCATTTCCTTTCCCTCTGTCGCTTATTCATCTTCAGCCACAGATATGCCGTCTTTGTGTATTCATTTAAGAACTAGTGTTTCTTCCTTCCCCATTACGTCTATCTCTATGTCAAGGTTTTGAAGTAACTCTAGTCAAGCTCATTTTTAACATTTTTATTATCTGCGATATCAATTTCTTACTAATTGCAGCCTCTCTGTATTGTGAGTATGGAACATTAGGAAATGTTAACCATTATATCTTTCTTTCATGTAACATGTGTAGGAAGAAGAAATGAAAAAGGGAGAACTTGAAGCAGATACTGATAAACTGATGCGTGAGTATAGAGCTCAGCTGGATGCAGAAAGGTCGTTGAAACTCTCCAAAGGAAGGAACTATTCTAGTGATAAGTCCCGTAAAGGTTTTATAATCCACTTAACTTAACATAATATGTAAACCTTCTTTTTGAGGAAGTTATTAACTGGTCTCCAATGGTTCAATGACCTCGCAGATAAGAAAGATAGAGATTCAAAGAAGAAGAAAAGCAAAAAGAGAAAGGTGTTTTTAAAAAATTTAGCTTTAGCTTATAACAGATAGTGTCAGGTTTTATACCTTATTTTAATATTAACCATGTTGGGTTTTGTTATGAGTTTGCAGCATTATTCGTCCTCAGAGTCATCATCTAGTAGTGATGAAGATGAATCTAGAAGATCAAGATCAAGTTCGAAACGATCAAAGAAGGAGAGGAAGCACAAGTCCAGCAGAGACAAACACTCTAGCAAAAGTAAAGACGAAACCGATGGCCCTGTACCACTCTCTAAATTCTTTGGCAATCTGAAGAATTGACACAAGCAAAACTGCAAATGAACTATTACAAAGAGTAAGATTGTCTTCAATCAAAATACTCAAATTAGGATATGATTGCTTTCTTCCTTGTTGCAATGTTATATTTTTGACGATAGCTCATGTACTATTATTTGTTGGATTGAGAGTCGCAATAATGTCCCACATAATCATGGTTTTTCAGTTTATTTGCTTAAAAAATGAAATTTGACAACATCAAAAGGGATTTATTCGGGGAATCTAGCAGAAAATCTTAGCACATCAAAATTTTCTGAGAAATGAAAAAATGAAGGAAATGAAAAAAAGAAATTATCCCAAAAAAAATCAGAAAAGGAAAAGAAAAAACAGAACAAGGATCAAAGATGGTCCTTTTCAATCATTGCTGGTTTCAGGGTTGAAAGCTAGGGCTTCACAGTAGATTAACTCCTTAATCTGCTCCTCTGTGAGTTGATGTTCATCTAACTCGAAGTTGAAGGGCTCTGGGCACTCTGGTTCATCTGTAATGTCGTGAAGCGGGCTAAGGTATGGATGAGCAAGCGCTTCTTTAACTGAAAAGTGGCAAACTGATGATAAGAATCCAAATAAAACTGCAAAAGAGGCTATATAGAGACAGAAACTGACCTGAGATTCTCTGTCTAGGGTCAAATGTTAACATCTTCTCCACCAAGTCTATTGCTAAAGGAGGCACATTCGGGAATTTCTCAGAAAAAGATTGGCGAGGAAGCTTAGGAAGCTGCCTTATGTATCGCTTTGCACATTCACTTAACGATCCAAGCTCTTCTTCAGATGGAGTGCCAATGAGCTGCAAAAAGAGATTCCAAGACTTTTTAAGCTAATCATGAGTCACAAAAAACGTATATGATCTTGGCTCAAAAAAGGGTTTTACTTGACTACCTCCATAAGCAAACGAAGCTGATTAACTTGATCTTTACCGGGGAAGAGCGGTTCGCGGTTCATTATTTCCATGAAAATACAGCCAACAGACCAAACATCTATTGCTGCGGTATAATCAGAAGAGCCCAACAGAAGCTCGGGTGCACGGTACCATCTTGTGACAACATACTCAGTCATTAAATTACTCTCAGGAGTGGCACGAGCAAGCCCGAAATCACAAATCTTTAAGTCGCATTGTGTAGTCAAGAGGAGATTGCTTGGTTTTAAATCTCTATGTAGCACATTGGCAGAATGAATGTACTTTAATCCGCGCAGGATTTGGTACATGAAATACTGCGAAAAAATTTGAAGATTGTCAAGCTCTCTAATCAAATGATTTTAAGTTTCAAGAAACAATAATTCTAAACACAAACCATGCAATGATCTTTGGTTAGTTCTTGATCGGATTTTAAAGTTCGATAAAGATCAAACTCCATCAATTCATACACAATGTAAACATCTTCGAATGAATCTCTCTGAGGAGGCAAGATTACGTCTCTGATTCCAACAATCTATAGAAAACAATGGTATTACATAGTTAGCTTTTAATGAATAACAAAATAAAATAAAAAGGTGAGAGGATAGTGATTAAATCAAACGAACATTCTCATGATCGAAGTGACGAAGAAGCTTGATTTCACGGAGAATTCTCTTCGCTTCGATAGTGTTATCAAATACATGCATTATTTTCTTTATTGCTACCTTCTCATTGGTCTCTGAGTCCATAGCCGAACTGTGAATAAAGTAAAAACTAATGTGTCAAGTGAGCTTTTTACTAAGGGAAGAAAGAAAAAAAATTCTCATGAAATAAAAGACAAATGTTTAGAGATCTCTAAGATTGAAATGATTCGAATTTTTCTCATAAAAAGATGAAACTTATCAACCAAATCCATAAATTACACACAAAAATATGGTCATGGACATTAGAGCTCAAAATGATTAGGAAAAGAAATGAAACTATTATGTTAAAAAGAAATTACCAAACAATGCCACAAGCACCTCTGCCAATAGGCATAATCGGTGGCTTATACTTTGCGGTGAGTTCAAAGATATGCCCAAATAGATTGTATTGGATATATCTTCCGTCATGGCTGAGAGTCTCCGGAACATCGTTAGTCGTCTTGAGCATTTGAGATGACGGCAAAAGAGCGGTTGTAACCTCCCCTTGAGTTTCCACCGTCTCAGCATCATTAGTTGGCTCCATGGTTTTCTTTTGTCTCTCACAACCTTAAACTATTCTGTTAAGAGAAGTGATGCTTTTTTTTTTGTTGGGTCTAGTGGTAGTGAACTAAACTTATATAGTGGATGTGTAAGTATGGATGTTTAACTCATGGAGGATTCAGGAGATATGAGTTTTGATAATATTTGCTAGTTTTAAGTAAGTTTTTTGAACTTATAGGAATTCTGCTGTCTATTTCCTTTTTCATATGGGAAAAAAAAAACTAACTAATCTTATTATAGTTAAGCTTCTGAAAATAAAATAAAAACTATTAATTTATGGAAGTTTATAAGTAAGATGTTTTTAGGTAAGTTGTTAGAAGAAGATTGTGTGCTTTTCATACACCCTCTTAAATTAAATACAAACATGGCAATACAATTTGGATACATACTCTTAAAATTCACTTCCTAATTTGTGTTTATTTTTTAAATTTCTTTCCTATTTTTCATATATTTTAAATTTAGTGTAATAATATTTTTTTGTAAAATCAATTTACTTATTTAGAAAATATATAGATATTTGATATTTAATAGTTTGTATATATATAAAAAAGTTATTATACTTTGAAATGAAAAATATAACACGTGTAACGGCATATATCCTACTGTTGGTGTCAGATTTCGCACATAAATTCGGTCCACAAAAAAATCATTAGCATCAAAGATTTATAACCAGAAAAAGCCCATTTGACGTAATTCAAGAAACCGAAAAGCCCATGAAAGACATCTCGAAACATGTTACCTCGGAAGCCCATTATGTAATTGGTCCACTTTTTGTCACTAGCACCTTTCGCTTAAAGTATTTGCGGAATTCCAATTAATCACATCAAACAATCAAATTTTGATATTACATGATGAGGCTTATGCCGAATACCGAGTCGGAGGCGTTACGATATGCAAATTAGTGACAAGAGAGGCTATAAAAGGTACGACCATGGAGGAGGAGATAACTTTGTAGAGCACTTTACCGTCATTCATTTTGTAATTCATTTTGCAATATAGAAAATCAATTCAATTTTTTTTTTCTTCAGTTTTTTCGATTAGTTTTATCCTTTTTTATTCGATTTCGTAAAAATTAACACGAATTTTGACTCTTATTATGTTTTACGATCTATAATCACCACAACTGAAGTTTGACATCACAATCACTAACAAAGAAACCTCAAAAAAATTATTAACAAACTTAATTCAAATTAGTCTAACAATTTTTTAAATTATTTTGTAATTATAATTATTTTCTTAAAAAATAAATTCGACCCTAAATTTGGTAGTTTAAATATGTGTATAACTGGTTTGTTTTCATTTACATGTTAATAAAATAAATATTTCCTTCTGCTACACTTGGCCTTTTTGGGTAATGATGTGATTCGTTTTTGAGTAGATAGCTGGAGATAGCAAAACAAAAACAAAAAATCTACAACAAATTTATGAGTTCTTAAATAGTTAAATTTGTTATATATCTTATATTTTTTTTAAAAAAAGTTCATAAGATTTAGTAACAAAAACGGCAGTCCAGCAATCAAATGATAAATCCACTGCATCACCACGTAAGCCTTCTGTATTTTATCATTGTTTTCTATCTGTCATATGATTAAAAAAAAAAAAAAAACAACAGTTCTGCTAATGACGTTGATTTATCCATTCTTTGTAGTTTTTTTTTTTTTTTGGTAAATATGATTACACATTGAAATTATTATTAGTTGTGTTCGACAGATATTGACAATGTTTAGTCATTCATATCTACTAAATCACGATGTATATTTTCGAGGGACTATTTTGCAATTTCAATAATTTAGCATTAAGATTAATTAAAATATCTGTAAACAGTTTCACAGCTAAAAATTATTATAATTTCTTTTCAAATTCTACCTTTCGGTTTATTTTTTATTGATAATTTTAAAACGCTTGCAAAATGTAAATTCACAAGTAGGAAAAAGAGTAAATATATCTATAGTAAAAATTCAAAGCCACGAAGGTAGATCAAAACTGGACGGAAATAAAGAATTTTGCCAAGATTTAATGAGAAAAACGTTTTCACTCGTTGTCATCTTCATCGATGGCTTCAGCAGCAGAGTTAAGTGTAGTAATACGGTCAATCAAGTTAGCTTTCCTCTGTTTATAAGTAAGCTTCTTCAAGTTAAACCTCTTATGCTCCTTTAGAGATTGCTTCCCAGCCTTTTTAGCTAACGGGTCAGCTCGGATCGCGGCATGAACCTTCTTGTACAATGCCTCCATTTCATCTGCTTCAATGCCTTTCTTCACATACTCACTGAAATGAGTCTGGAATTTCTCGGGCTCGTCTTCGTTTAGAGTCTACAAAAGAAATTACAAAACATTTTGGTTTGCTATGTACACAGAAAAAACAGAGTAGAAAGCAGGGGACATTTTAGTTGTTTCGGGTTTTAACCTTCATGTAATCCGCAACATGACCACCATAGATGTATTTGGCGTGAGTTGCGAAATCGAGCTGTTTGTTTTCTTTGGAGAATCCCGCGAATCTCTTGTCGCTATGAGGTATATCAAGACCACCATCAAGTGCACCCTTTTTAACAACAAACATAACACGTTAAGCAAAATTTCTGATCAACACCAAAAGCAATTATCACAGAAGTGTTAAATTTATCGAACTGCATACCTTCAGAGCACCAAAGACACGGTTTCCGGTAGTTGTTCTGATAAGTCCAACGTCAAGAAGAGCACGGAACGGTCTCCTGTTCTCAGTAGGTTCCACTGAGAAATCTTCCCCAGAGGCCTAATGCAAAACTGAGCATTATTAAAACATTTCAATTATACACCAGGAACAAAAAAAAGAAGCGTTTTTATAGGGATACCTCGAGATTTCCTTCATACTCTGCATCCATTTCAAACATTTTCAGGACACGTCGAGCCAGGAGAAGTCCAGTACAGTATGCTAACCAGTCATCACAATAATCAAAGATAAGTGATCAATTCAAGAGAACTGAGAGATATTAGTTGCCTATAACATTTCTGTAAAAGTAAAATCACCTGCAGAATAGTTTGTAAGACCAACATTAAGCCCATATTGCGGCAGCTCGTGAGCATAAGCAGCAGCAAGAATTACATCACCAGCAATGCTCGCAGATACAAGCTGTGCCGTTATGTCTTTGTTTGTCTACGATACACCGATCAAGGCCAAACAAAACTCGATAGGAAAAATGTAGATAGCAGGACTTGATAAGAAGAATGTGATGAGCTAAAAGGATACAAATCTAACAACAAAGCGATACTTTGGAGTGTTGTATTTGTTCTTGTCTTGATTGATAAGACGACGGATTCTGGCACGATAATCAGTCTTGCCATCTATTAAAAAAACGAGAAATGTCACAGCAAAATGTTAGCTTTTGATTAATGAAAAACAAATGTTTCTCTCTGTGTAGAATGATACCTCTTCTTCTCCTGTATTTGACCTGATACCTCATCGAATAAGGCCTTGAATTCTGGGGCTTTACGAGAACCTGCAGATTTTTGAAAGACACAGTTCAAGTTTCCAATGTAGCTAATTTTAATCTCTCAAAGCTATATAAACCTGAGGAACGAATGTAAAACTTCTACACCAGACGTAATCAAATCTAGAAAACCTAAGAATCTAAACAAAACGACAATACAATAGTTCCATCGGAATCAATTTGAATCTACGTGTTTGGTAAAATAACCATAATTTCAAGTACTGTAGCCGATCATATCAAGCGAGGAACGATTCATAAGTTTGTTCTTATATAATACGAAATAATTGAGAGTGGGATATGAACTCACCATTGTTTCTCTCCCTCAAGCTTCAAGTGCAAAAACCAGTCCAGACTTATGAAAAAGACGGCTATCTTATATATAGGACGAGACAAAAAAAAAAAAAGGATGACGATATAAGAGATTGCGTTTCACTAAACCCTAAGTATGCCAAATTGATTTGTGGAGAAACCGCTGTAATAAGTTTACTTTTGACCCAACTACAAGCTAGTTCTAAAATTGCAAGACACTCTCAGCAGCAGCATCCGAACGAAAAGAAAAAGTTTTTGAATTACACTTTTTCTGTTGTGTATCAATGATGAATGTTAACGGTTCCAAGAGACGAAAAACAAAGTAATTCTTGGCAAATTAATATAAAACAATTTTCGAGCCTTTACGCTTCGGAGACATCAACGTTGTTCAAAGCTTCTTCTGGTGACGATGATGCATCTTGGAGACTTTCAGAAGTTTCATCAGAGGGCTTAGATTCATGCTTAGCAGCAGCTTGCAAAACCCGGCTTCGAACATCTGAAGACGAAGGTGAAGTTGGGAGCCCAACACCATTTGTTTCGAGTTTTCCTGCAGCCCATGAGAAAGCCTGAGCTCCGAGTCTCACTGGTGCAAGCAACAGCCTTGAACAAGAAGAAGAAGAAGAAGAAACAATCTTTGTTAAGACAGAACAGAGGTTTTGTTATTGAAGAAGGGTCTAATGATGGCGCTTTTATACCTGACGTCTTGTTTGAAGTCTTCGGAGTCATCATATGAAGAAAGTCGTTGGTATATAGTCTGCATAATGTCTGAGACTTGAGAAACAAGACAAAGCAACGATAATTTGACAAAACTTAGAAACCAGTAAAAGGGGCTAGTATATATATACCAGACCGAGGCCAATGACAGCTATGAGTTGCAGTGTTTTCTCCCACTCTGCGAGAGATAGAGCAATCATGTAAGTGTAAAGGTGGAAGTGAGGAACTTGTGTGTTGTGGCGAGTATGAGAATTCAAAAGAGGAAATGAGAAAGAGTTAAACGCACCAGACAAAGCATACAATGCTGCGAAAAAACCCTGCATAGATAGATCTTCTTATATTAGTCAGGATGGGATTAGTATTTTACGGAAATAGAAAAATAGAACTAGAAGCATACCACACCAACTCCTACTAGTTGCAATGGAGAAGGATTTATGTCTTCAAGAATCGCCTCAGCTTCCTGAAAAGCATTTTAGATATGTTAACTTACTGATGAAAAGATTTGAGAGTAGTTTCAATTTCGTCAGGAGCAATAATCCAAAAAGAATTGTATTCAGATGGTATTACCTCGTTGAGGATCGTAAGTGTTGTCTCAGGTTTCGGCTCCTTCACACGAAGACCTTCCTTAACCCATGATCTAAAGCCACCTTGCACCAAGTATGGTCTCTATCACAATATAAGCAACCAATGAAGAGTTTATTCAAAAATGTTTCAAGGTAATTATAGTGCTCAAAGTGAATTAGGCCCAAATGACTTGCCTTAATCCCAACTTTTCTCAGGGCTCTCGCAATACCCTTCGAACGAGTTCCATCAGCATCCATAACAATAACCTTGGACCTGTCCTATAAGTAGCAGAGTAAGCAAAATTATGAGATGTCAGCATACTTAGAATCTGAAACAGCTCGACCATGCACAAAACCATAGTAAGTTACAAAAGAAGCATGCAGGTAGCACACCTGAACTATTTTCAAGTTCTTGATGATTACTGCTGTCAAGATATCATCAACTTCACTTCCACCTTTCAGTAGCCGTTTGACAGCACCGTCAACCTTAAACATGAATCAAGAACAAGAACCATAAAAACTGTGAACAAAGGAACGTCTTTTATCCTACTCGAAGTGACATTTCTTGATCATTGACATTCTGTAGCACTGATTGCTGAAACTTCGTTGTGTTCATATATTACATCTGTAGAGTTTCTATATTTGCTGTGGTCAACAACAATGAGGATGCAAAACCAACCTCAGGCAGTGTCACGCTAGAATATCGAAATCGAGCTGATCTCCGCAGATCAGGGATTCCATCTTTCTCTCTCAAGGCCTTCAAAAAGACAGTAGCCAAAATGAGCATTTTTATTTCAACTCAAAGTCTTTGATGAACATTATGTGAAAGAAATAGCCAATTGTGGAAGGTTTTGAAAAGTTATATATCAAGAAACGGGAACTTGTTAGAAACTTAAGAGCATCTTACTTCAGGCCTGACATCTATGAGCACTGACTTTTCTCTTGATCTTAAAAGGTCCAGAGTTGACTTGGGAGACAAATCTCCAGCATATCCACCATATGTCCAAACCCGATATAGAACCCTGCAAATATCTGGTGGAAAATATAAATTCTTCTATACTACATTGTCCTCTCAAGAAAAGCAAGTTTAATATCCTTCTAGGGTAAGAATCGCCGTGTACCAAAAGGTTCCTGTGGTGCCTACGAATAGAAAAAGGTGAATGATTGGGTCATCTGGATCCAAACCGAAATTTCTCTCCAAACCTCCAATGGCAACAGATACCTGTTCATCATGATACTGTTAGAAACATGTAGTCCATCAAGAATTAATTTTCTTCTTCGAAAATATGAATGAACCTTCAGTATATAAGACAAAGCACCTGCTGCAACACAGCTCCCACGGGACTCAATACTTTTAGAGCAACATCTTCTGACGAGTTAAGGGCACTCTTAACATCTGGAGGAAATAAATCTTTTGCTGACCCATAAGAGTACACAACAAAAGAAACTCCATTTGTTACAGAACTTTCTGCAATACTAACTGATTGCCTCAACAGATCAATGGCAATAACAGCTGCTCTGTGTGAAGCTTCCTTCAAGCCAGTAGAAAAACTTGAAAACTTATCTCCAGCTATATCTCCTGTTTGGTCGACCGCAGAAAACGCTCTGTTAAATGCATCATCTACAACTTCAGAAGCATTCTTTGTAATAGATGTCACAGACGAGGAGAAGGAATCCAAAGAGTTCTTTACAGCATTTTCTCCTTGGTTTAGTGATGAGCTGAAGGACTCTTTGAGCCCAGAAGAAAAGTCATCAAAGCTAGCTTTCGCATCAAGAAGTGATCCTGGATTGAGATCCAGAGTATCCGGAAGAGAGACTGAAGTATCCTGAGATATCTCAAGACTCAATTTGGTTCCCGACTCAACCGAGTCTATAAGGCTACTGCTCTTTTCGGTTAAAGTCTCAGCAGAAGGGCTTTCAACACGGGAAACATCTGGTACAACAGCTTCAACAGGAGAAACATCTGGTACAACAGCTTCAACAGGGGAAACATCTGCTACAACAGCTTCAGCAGGGAAAACATCTTCTCCATCTACATATGCCAGTCCCCCATCACCCGCTACAACAGCTTCACTCAAGTCATAAACGTTTATTCTGTCCAACTCATTCTGGCACAAACTTCTGAATGTTGATACTGGTTGCTCTACTTTCTCGATAGTACCGGTGAAGAAACTCCCAGTGGCTTGAGGTAAGAAAGTCTTCTGCAGGCGTGTTCCATTAGAGATACGAAAGAAGGCATTGTCACCAGAACTGTATCTGTGAATCAACTCTCTCCTGAAGGAAGAACAGCCTCGCCAATTGCCAGGAAATAAAATCTGCAGAACCAATTCGTTATGAGGTACTCACTTATCTATGAAAACGAAACCAAAACCTTTATAACAAAGCATATTCACCACAATCCTAACAAACCATAAAATCCCAGAGCTAAAATTAAATAGCTTCAATAAATTTTCTACCAATTAGCTTTTTGCTTCTACTTCTATAAAGAAAAATTCTCACCTGAGAATGGTAATGGCAGCTTGTGGCCGAGCACAGGGGAAACATTTTGATCAGTCCTGGATTTTTATAGCAATCTCATAGCTTTCATAACATACCGGAAAAGGAACAACAAATAGATTTTAGGGGAAAAAGAACAATCCAGTAAATCAAAGCCAGAATAAAGAACGTCCCAAGGAGAACAAAACAAAAATCACAGACCAAGAAGATACAGTGACCCAACAAGAAGAAGATACAGACAAGTAAACTCCAGCAGCAGATTACAATAATGGGCTTCGTCTGAAACCTGCAAAAAGAAAGACCCATCATCTAATTACTCAGTCTGAGCATGTTTGGAACCTTAAACAACAGAAGAAACTCAGGGAGAGATAAAATGCAGTAACTTTAATAACCTATCTGGGTCAAGGTCGACGATGATGGAGTTTCATGAGAAGAGTGGACTGAGCTTGATGAAAGATGTTAATGTCGATTGTACTGAAAAAAGATAGAGGCGCGTGGATTCGATAGAAATTTGGATTGGGTGGAGCAAGATAAGCAAAGCGAAAAAAAAAAAAAAAAAAAAAAAAAAAAAAAAAAAAAAAAAAAAGATAAGCAAAGCGAATCGTGTGGCTTGTCCAAAGCCGTTAAATCATCATCTCTATACTTTATTTTGTCTTTTCTTTTGATTGGGTCAATTCGTAACATTTTAAAACTAATGGGGACGATTTCAAACTTGTCAATAATATCTTCTCTTTTCATAAATCAGTTAAACAGTTTCACACGTGTCGTACTATGATTGTTTTTATTCCGTGGACTGAGTAATAGCAGATTTGCTCTTCATCTTCGTTTGTTCGTCTATGACTTGGTGAATTTTGCATCTGATCATCTCTGCAATTTCAAGGTGAGTTCCTTCTCTTATGACTTATGATTCGATTCGGGTTCTCTGAAGAATTTATCTTTCTGCTTTCTCGAATCTTCGAATTGCGTCTTTAATTTTGCTATTCTCGGAACAAGTCTCAGATCTCTGGTACTCAGAATTGTTTATTACTTTTATCGGAATTTGTGAGAAAATTCTTGGCTTTTGGCTCAGTTTATATCGGAGATTGGTGGTGTTAGGAAGATGATCTCTCTGTTTAGTTTTTGTTTGGCGTTGATGAATAACTAAGTATAGAAATAGAACTAACTATGCTGCATTTTGGATTCCGTTGCTTTTTATTTCTCTGGATGTGAAATAATGGAAGTTCCTTATTTCATTGGATTTTGCTAGATTTTTGGTTCCACATTGATATCTTCGTCCGTGAAGCTGTCAAAGAGGGCACCTGGTCCGCTTGGTCCTGAGTTCAGATGGATCTGCATCCACCAGGTGAGTTTCTTTTTGAAGATTCAAGTGGTTCATTTTTTTCAATCTTGGTGTTTTTCATCTTTTGGTTGGCTAATTTTTTTATCTTCTTGGTGAAGGTGGTTCAAAAAAGACATCTATAGTTGTTGTCACCTTAAACTCTGGTGAAGTCTATGTCATTGCAAGTTTGCTATCTAAGGCTGATACTCAAGTTATCTATATCGATCCTACGACTGGTATCCTGCGGTACAATGGGAAGCCTGGTCTTGATAATTTTAAGTCAGAGCGTGAAGCCTTAGATTATATCACGAATGGATCAAGAGGAGGTGTTAGAAACTCAGTTTATGGCAGGGCAATACTCGGTTATGCTGCGTTGGGGAGCTTTGGGATGCTTTTAGTTGCCACCAGGCTAAATCCAAGTATTCCAGATTTGCCTGGTGGTGGATGTGTTTATACAGTGACTGAGAGTCAGTGGGTCAAAATACCACTTCACAATCCACAGCCTCAAGGGAAAGGTGAAACCAAGAATATTCAGGAGTTGACAGAGCTTGACATCGACGGGAAGCACTACTTCTGTGATACTAGAGACATCACTCGGCCCTTCCCAAGCCGTATGCCACTGCAAAGCCCTGATGATGAATTTGTTTGGAATAGATGGTTATCCGTGCCTTTTAAGAATATTGGGCTGCCTGAACACTGTGTCATTCTTCTGCAGGTTCGTCCTCCATTAATGAATTGATGAAGGTTGATCTACCTATCCGATTTCGGTTTTATGTGAAGTTTCAAAAGCATATAAATTGATATGACATCATATTATGTCTTCTTATTTGATGTTAATTATAGGGGTTTGCAGAATATCGACCTTTTGGGAGCTCAGGTCAGCTAGAAGGGATTGTTGCTCTAATGGCCCGTCGTAGCAGACTGCATCCAGGGACTCGTTACCTAGCTAGGGGCATTAATTCATGTTCTGGCACAGGTGACATGCCAAAAATGCTCCTCTCTCTTTATTTCTTTGTTGTTCCCTTAGAAAGTGTGGCTCTGGATTTGACTAGTGCCTAATTTTAGAAGTATATGTGTAGTGCAGGTAACGAAGTTGAGTGTGAGCAGCTTGTATGGATACCTAAAAGGCATGGTCAAAGCATTGCTTTCAACTCGTACATTTGGCGACGTGGCACCATACCAATATGGTGGGGTGCAGAATTGAAGATGACTGCGGCAGAAGCAGAAATTTATGTGGCAGATAAGGATCCTTATAAAGGCAGTACGGAATATTACCAAAGATTAAGCAAGCGATATGATACTAGGAATCTAGATGCACCAGTTGGAGAAAACCAGAAGAAAAAGGCTTTTGTTCCTATTGTGTGCGTTAATTTGCTAAGAAGTGGAGAAGGGAAATCAGAATGTATCTTAGTACAACATTTTGAAGAATCTATGAACTTTATCAGATCCAGTGGAAAGCTTCCTCATACCCGTGTTCACCTAATAAATTATGATTGGCATGCCAGCGTGAAACTAAAGGGGGAACAGCAAACTATTGAAGGATTGTGGATGTATCTAAAATCTCCCACTATGGCAATAGGGATTTCTGAAGGTGACTATTTGCCTTCACGTCAAAGACTGAAAGATTGCAGAGGTGAGGTAATCTGTATTGATGACATTGAAGGTGCCTTCTGTTTGAGATCGCATCAAAATGGGGTGATACGCTTTAACTGCGCTGATTCTTTGGACCGAACAAATGCGGCTAGTTTCTTTGGTGGTCTTCAAGTGTTTGTGGAGCAATGTAGAAGGCTAGGAATATCGCTTGATACTGATCTTGGATATGGTTATAATTCTGTTAATAATCATGGGGGATATAATGCTCCCCTTCCACCAGGGTGGGAAAAAAGAGCTGATGCAGTAACTGGAAAATCGTATTATATAGATCACAATACAAAGACAACAACATGGAGTCATCCATGTCCTGATAAACCATGGAAGAGACTTGACATGAAGTTTGAGGAATTTAAGAGATCAACTATCTTATCTCCTGTGTCTGAACTTGCTGATCTTTTTCTGCAACAAGGTGATATCCATGCAACCCTCTATACTGGCTCGAAAGCTATGCACAGCCAAATTCTCAACATCTTTAGCGAAGAATCAGGAGCATTTAAACAGTTTTCTGCAGCACAGAAAAACATGAAAATTACGCTGCAGAGAAGATATAAAAATGCTATGGTTGATAGTTCACGGCAAAAGCAGCTGGAGATGTTTCTGGGAATGAGGCTTTTCAAGCATCTTCCATCAATTCCTGTCCAGCCTTTACATGTAAGCACATTGGCACGATTTCAGTAAACTTCTTCCAAGCTCACAGCTCACCTTTTTTCAATCACGTTTTTTGCCCGTAGGTAGATTTTGTTTCTTATTGGACCAATACTCTTGGTTTTTGTTTTTTTCTTGTGTGTAGATATATGATTCCTAAGAGCATAACATATTTTTGATGTGTAGACTCTACTATTTGTTGCTTTCTATACTCTCTGTCTACTTCGCACTGAAAAAATATTCATGTCAGGTACTTTCTCGACCATCTGGTTTCTTTCTGAAACCTGTACCTAACATGTCCGAAAGTTCCAATGATGCGTCCAGTCTGCTGAGTATCAAGAGGAAGGACATAACTTGGGTACCTCCACTTAGATATTACATTACCTAATAGTTCTCATTTACTTGAAGACTTGAGCTAAAAAAATTCATGCTTTTATTTATTTTGCAGCTATGTCCACAAGCTGCAGATATTGTTGAATTATTTATCTATCTCAGTGAGCCCTGCCATGTATGTCAACTTCTACTGACCATATCACACGGTGCGGATGATTTGACATGTCCATCCACTGTGGACGTGAGAACTGGACGCCACATAGAGGACCTTAAATTAGTTGTTGAGGTTGGCTCTCTTTTAGGTCTTGTCCCTTCTGTTTTATTGTTTGTAGGATATCTGTAGACTTACATGCAAGTTAGTTCAACTGGATTACCGATTACTTGTAATTATGTTTTCTGGACAGGGTGCTTCAATACCACGCTGTGCAAATGGTACAAATCTTCTGATACCCTTACCAGGGCCAATTAGTTCTGAGGATATGGCTGTTACTGGAGCTGGTGCACGTCTTCATGAAAAAGATACTTCAAGTCTTTCACTGCTATATGATTTTGAAGAACTAGAAGGACAGTTGGATTTCTTAACCCGTGTAGTTGCTGTTACATTTTATCCAGCTGGTGCTGTTAGAATTCCTATGACTCTTGGTCAGGTACTTACTAGTTTCCAACCCATGAATTGATGATTTATCTATTAGCTTCATCATGCTCTGAACTCGTTAAAGTTTATGATTAGCCATCATCAAAAAAAGAAAAACCAAACACTTTTTCTGCATTGTGTTTGTGCTGCAGATAGAAGTCCTTGGAATTTCTCTTCCATGGAAACGAATGTTTACTTGTGAACGTACTGGAGGAAGATTAGCTGAACTTGCAAGGAAATCAGATGAAGATGAGAGTCCTTTTTCATCTTGTTCTGACTTGAATCCGTTTGCTTCAACATCTTTACACACTGAAACTGTTTCCACACCAGTACAACAGAAGGATCCCTTTCCCAGTAATCTGCTTGACCTTTTGACAGGAGAGGACTCTTCTTCTGACCCCTTCCCACAACCAGTGGTGGAATGTGTTGCAAGTGGAGGAAATGACATGCTTGATTTCTTAGACCAAGCAGTTGTTGAATATCGCGGCTCTGACACTGTTCTTGGCGAGTCTGTCCCACAAGAAAAAAGGCCCAAGGAAAGTGGTGCTCATCTGTACTTAAATTGTCTAAAATCCCTTGCGGGTCCAAACATGGTATGCTACTTCATCCCTATTAAATTTAACTTGGAGGGAGAAAATTGTTATCTGGAGATGCAATTACGTCTTGCCACAAACTATAGTTCTGACTGTATGAATTTTTCCTTGGTTTAGCTATTCTTCTCACATGTTATCTTTTCCACGTAAAGTTCCATTTTTAATGGTAAAGTTAATTCCTGCATGTCTGGCATAACACAGGGAAAGAGGCTTGAGTTTGTAGAAGCTATGAAGCTTGAAATTGAACGTCTACATCTCAATATTTCTGCAGCAGAAAGAGATAGGGCACTGTTATCGGTTGGAATGGATCCAGCTACCATTAATCCAAACTCTTCATACGACGAG